GGGAGGAAAGGAGGAGAATTGTTTTATTTGTTTCTTTTCTGAAGGGAGGCAAGTCAAATAAGGTTTCCTGAGGTGTGTATGCCCTGTACATTCAAGGATCAATCCAAATGGCATAGTGGAGTACTACACAAGCATAAACATAATAATCAGATGCTGCCAAGTCAATTCTGGCTCTATGGCAACCCTTTTTCAGGGTTTCTTATCTAGAGAGTACTCAGAAAGGGTCTACCATTCCCTTCTTCTGGGGACATCCTGGGACTGTGCTGCTTTCCCAAGGCCACATGGGCTGGCTCTACTTGCAAGAGACACATTGAGGAATCAAACTCCCGACCTCCAGCTCTGCAAGCAGATACAGTGGTTCGGCGATAATCCATTCCAGGAAGATCGCTGTTAAGCGAAAACATTGTAAAGCGAAATTAAAAGCCCCATTGAAATGCATTGAAAATCGTTCAATGCGTTCCAATGGGGTAAAAACTCACAGTCCAGTGAAGATCCTCCATATGGCAGCCATTTTTGCTGCCTGTATAGCGAGGAATCCGTCCCTAAGCACAGCGGGGAGCCATTTTAAGCACCTGGCAGCCATTTTGAAAACCCGACAATCAGCTGTTTTTGATTGTCGTAAAGCGAAAATCAGTTCCTGAAGCAAGGAACCAATCATCGCTAAGCGAAATTCCCCCATTTAGACCATCGTTTTGATTGTCATAAAGTGGACTTGTCGTAATGCGGGGCAATTGTTAAGCAAGGCACCACTGTACCTAAACCACTGAACTATGCAACTCAAGGTTAAGCAGCCCTCTTTAACCCAAGCCAGCCTACTCTGATTGAGCCATGTACACAAGCCCTTAGAGACTTTTCTGAGAGATGTAAGTATCCCAAACTGTGTTTTGCAGGTGACTCAGGAATAATCTATTGCCTCTCACGGTATGAGTGTGACTCAGTTGCCAACATTTTGCAGAAGGCTGGCCTTTCTGCACTTGCATATCATGCTGGTCTTCCTGATAGTATCAGGGATACTGTTCAGCAGAAGTGGATTAATCAGGATGGATGTCAGGTAAGTGGATAATCTTTTGAAAACTGTGTGGATGATTAAAAGAAGCCATTAGAAAATGAAAGTGGGAACAGCGCATGGCAAATACACTGTGATCTAAACGTATATGACTTTAAAACAATGTCAGGAGAAATTGAGGTTTAAAATTAAAAGGTTTCAGTTCAGTTCAGACATTTTTTAACACAATCAAATTAAGGATTTAATTTTAAGGCAATAATAAATTATTTCAGTGAGATGGGAAGGTGGATGAAATAGTAGTTCAAGAGTGGTCTGCCCAAATGCTATACACTCATTCTTGCGGCAAAACAAGATGTAGCAGTGATTATTTATTTATTTAACATATACTGCCCAATAGTGATACACACTCTCTGGATGGTTAACAGCCAACAATGAAATCAGAAATAATACAATACAATTAGAAAATTGTAGCAAACAATAAGAAGTTAAGGTGTCTTCTGTTTGGACTTTCTAAATCATTTGGTACATCTGATTTATGTGCCTTGGAGAACTTTGACACTGAACAAGCTTCACAGATATATTGAGCAAGCTGTTATTCCATCAGGTATTGTGAGTTTATTTTGCTGATGCTTATTTGCCTCTAGTTCTGTGAGAACCCTACTTTGTTCTTTTCCAGGTTATATGTGCAACAATTGCTTTTGGAATGGGCATTGACAAACCTGATGTCCGTTTTGTGATCCATGCCTCTCTCCCTAAATCTATTGAAGGATATTACCAAGAGTCAGGCAGAGCAGGGCGTGATGGGGAAATGTCTCACTGCCTACTTTTCTACAGCTATAGTGATGTTACCAGATTGAGAAGACTAATTATGAGTAAGCATTTCTGTTTGGTACCTTTAATCCTGGAACCAGATAGTAGCAAGTTTGAAATATAAAGTGAAAGTCAAATATTTGTTCATAGATATTTTCCATTTAACCATCTTAATGACCCTCCTTTTCCAGTGATCATGAAAATATGCTTTAGGCTAAATCATGTCATTTCTTAAATAATTTCTATTTTGAAAAATTATTTTAAAATATTTTTATCTTGGAAAAGAAAACAATGTTTTTAAAGAATAATACCATTTATAATCATTAAAAAAATCTAGTCCATAATCTTCATTTGGACTTTTTGACTTCCTGTTCTTTCATCTCTTCACAAATGATTTGTTGGGTAGTAAGAGAAACTCTGCTTCCTCTCCGTGTTCCTCTTTAACATGTTTTTGAAACTGCTTTTCACTTCTTTTCAGTGGAAAAAGATGGCAACAGTCATACACGGCAAACTCATTTTAACAACCTCTATAGCATGGTCCATTACTGTGAGAATGTTCTAGAGTGCAGGAGGATACAACTCTTAGCCTATTTTGGGGAAACTGACTTTAATCCTAAATTTTGTAAGGAATTCCCTGAAGTAAGTTGTGACAACTGCTGCAAACAGCAGGTAAGCAAGTTCCGCTCCAGAGCTTTCTGAAATGCCAACTCATACTGACCTTTGTGGAACAAAGTCTGGGCAGGAGTGAATCTGAGCTGTTGAAACTAATGTAACTTGCACAGAAGAATGACTTCTATGATTTTTTT